CTATAATAATATATACAACGATAATATATATATACTATAATAATACTATAATAATATATACAATAATATATATACTATAATAATACTATAATAATATATACAACAATAATATAATACTATAATAATATGTACAACAATAATATACATATTATAATAATATGTACAACAATAATATACATACTATAACAATACTATAATAATATATACAACAATAATATAATAATATATATTATGTTACAGTATAAATATATATTGTATTATGAAATAGTATATGATAAAATATGTATACGCGATAAGAACTGGATATTAAAAATAAAACTATCCCAAGACTTTTGAGCGGGAAAAGAACTTTTACTATATTTTATTATAAAATATTATAAAAAACCTTCGTACTACTACAAAAAATAAAAGAAGTGAAACAAAACTTCATGATGCAATGGAGTGTACGAGTCTTTTTATTTGTAAATCTCTAAAAATACGCTACATTTAAATCTGTGAAAGCACACCATTTTGTATCTGCAGGTACAAACCTAACCTAAACAAAAATGATAAACTGGTCATTTTGAATGACTTTGGTGGTTCCAGCTTAGCGTTGACATGTACGCTAAATCCTCAGAAGGGGACAAGGTACGAAACGAAATCATGCACTTGACGAGTGCAGATAATTGATGATTCTGGTCGCCTGTCAGTAAGCGAAGCACAATATTTCTAAACTCGCTGTTATTACATCTCGTCCCAGGACGATTACGTATCTACTCGCGTGTATCGTTTTTTCTAATTACACGCTCTGTAAACCTGTTCTCTGTACAAATTTGCATCGTCGAAGAACCACGGCGGCGTTCCCACTCGACAGCGATGGAGGCATTTTTATAACGACGGGAACTTTTGCTTTTTAGCTTCGCGGGAAGCGTACACTGATCGCGATTGATCGATCGGTTCCTCTCCGATGAAAATCGTATCCCCATCGCGGTAGAGACGCTTTTTGTTTAGAGCCAGTTTTGTTTCTCTCTTGTCTCGCGCGTTCACATAACGTCTGGTATATCTGTGTGTAACTGGCGTGCAGATTTGAACGTGCCTGTATACCGGGTGAATCACCTAAGACCCGAAGCTGATGAATATATTTTCGAAACGATCAATCACGTCAGAAGATGTTTTAGACAAAATATCTTCTGGTTTCGAGAGATATAGTTTTCATTTTTCTTTTTTTTTTTTTTTTTTTAGATC